TTAATGCAGGAAGGGTGACATGAACACATCTGTCTTACCAAGCAGATAAAGCAAATATTTTCTGAGGGTCAACAGGATCTACTGTGTAGCTTAAATCCCAAAAAGCCCCTGCCGTCTCTCTGATTTGTCAATGGAGAAAGTGATATAAATTGGGGCCCACAACCAAACCTACAACTATACCCCAATGGTTACACAGCTACATACTAGTGCCCCTCTGGGTATAAATACCATTCCCAATGGCAGCAACAGAGAATATGCTCAGAGAAAAGCAACACAAATTAACTCTGGCAGTTATTTGGCTAATTTTTCAGAATCTGTCTTAAAAACAACAGTATTATTTAGCAGCCAAAGAGGACAGAAAATCCTGGCAACTGGCAAAATCATGGTTGGACCTATAGCAATCATGCCATGCTTAGTAGCACTGTCCTTTGGATACCTTTTTTTTTCTATGATCTGCATAGAAACATCTGTGTTTACATCAGGGAATCTGAAATACAGGCACAAAAGAGAAATGACTAAATAGAATTAAAGAGCCAAAATCACAGTTTGATATGGCATCTAATAGCAAAGAGGGGGCCAACCCACATGACTGGGAATTACAAAATGGGTAAATACAAGGGAATAAAAATAAAACCAACTTTGACAATAAAGAAAAACTTTTGCATATTAGCAGTACATTTGTATGCCTGGTGTGTTCCATTTCTCCTCTTCAAAACTTACGTGCTTATTCAGAAAAATGAGGAGAAACAGTAGCATCACAGTATAAGCAATGATAGAGGGTCACTCATCTTTTAGCCTGTGGCAGCTCCTGGGATGTACAACAGAAAACCCTGCCGAGAAGAATTCTGATAATTTGCATGATCTTTTGGTAGAGTTTGCATTTTCTGATAGCATCACCATCGCTTTACCCCTGTAACTTGTTCACAAAGTATATGATATCTATAGTATAAAAATTTAGATGCAAGTTTTATTTAGACATAGAAAAAAAATCTCCCTCTTCACAAATTGCTTTAAAGCACTTAAAGTCAATATTTTTATAAGGTTAAGTAAGCCTTCCTATATATGTAGTCATACTGTTGTTTTTGTTTTTTGAGACAGGGTCTCTCTCTGTTGCCCAGGCTGGAGTGCAGTGGCAGGATTTCAGCTTACTGCAGCTTTGACTTACCAAGCCCAAACGATCCTTCCAATTCAGCCTCCTGAGTTGCTGGGACCACAGGCACATGCTACCACACCTGGTAATTTTTCTATTTTCCTATTTTTTTGTGGAGATGGGGTTGTGCTATGTTGACCAGGCTGGTTTCAAATTCCTGAGCTCAAATAATCTACCCACTTCAGCCTCTCAAGGTGCTGGGATTACAGGCATGAGCCACTATACCCAGCTGAAGTCATAAAAAATGGATTGACTTGACTATAAAAATATCTTTTAAGTTTTATATGATGTAAAAGAGAGACAACCAAATATTTTAAAACCAACAGCAAACAGAGAGATAAGAATAATTCTGAAGTTAGAGTAAAACAATTAATTTTGGTCTTCTGAGTTTTAGATAGTATCTATCATTGGGGCTATTACGCCATCTCCTAATAGCCTTGTGAAATAAATGGTGCCAAGTATAGCTAACCTGGGAAGGTGAAGGAGTGGTGAATATTATTCACTCTTTTAGCTTCGGGAGCTCAGAAAAAGACACTCAGAAGGGAAGGCCTCAGAAGTCCTTTCTCTCTGACCTTCTCCTGCCTTCTGTCTCTGGCTTCTCATTCTCCCCTGAGGCAAGCCACAGACACTAAAATTCCTCTTCCCCAAAGCAGATCATACAGACTCCTTTTTCCCAAAAGCCATCCATAAAGCCTAAAAATATTACCTAACCTTCTCCTGTTTTTCTGTGTGACAGCTGTCATAAAGAAATTAAGATTCTCATTCCAAAGGAGTCCTACCTCATACCTGGAAGGAAGAAATGCTACCACAGAGAGGCTAAGAAGAATCTGGACAGATCTTGCTACGTTTCCTCACTAACATTGGAAACCACTAACAATGTTTCCTCACTAACATTGGAGGCCACCAACATTAAAGCACACTCCTTTTATTCAATCACAATTCTATGGCTCCCCATTCTTGCTTAAACCTAAGATTAAATATGCAGTTTTCCCTAGTATTGTGAGGATATCATTCAGAAGGCTACTGTGTCATCTAAAAGTTTAATTAAATACATCTATAATGCTCTTCTCCTGTTAAGCTAATTTTTGCATTTTTATTAGAGACGGGGTTTCACCTTGTTGACCAGGAGGTTCTCGATCTCTCGACCTCGTGATCCACCCGCCTCAGCCTCCCAAAGTGCTGGGATTATAGGTGTGAGCCACCACGCCCGACCTAACCTGTCTTTTTATATAGGCATGATACCCATGACCCTTACGATGAAGAAGAAAGGGATGGTACCCTTTCCACTGCTACATGGCTTCACGGATGTGTCTTGTATAGAAGCCTGCACTTACAAGGTCCCTATGCTTGATTTAATGCTGTGCTGTCAACATCTTTAATTTTTTTAATCAATTTTTGAAAGAGGTCCTGCATTTTCATTCTGCAGTGAGTCCTGAAGTTATGCACTGGCCCTGTACTCACTGTTCTACAAAGTGCCTATCTATCTACAAAGCAGTAAGTTTTGTGCCAAAGAAAAATACAAAGATAATAACCCTAGTCCTAAAAAGCTTAGAGCCCAGAAGTAGAAATCAATTTAGTAATCAAATTACAATAAAACAAAGCAGACAATAAAACAAGTGGCAAAGATGAAGCTCCAGAAGCGCTAAGAGGTGACTTCTCAGTGTAATGAGGTAAGTATCTGTGGAAAGGCAGCTTATAGTGGGATCCAAAAAGCAGAGAAGGATTTAAACACTGACAGTGATGAAGGAGACAGGCAGGAAGAGAAAGAGTGTGCTCTGAAAAAGCACAGGGAAGGCATGGGTACATGGAATTGTTTGGTTTGCAGGAAGTGAGAAGAATCCAGGCTGAAAAATCTTGCTGGTTTTGGCTTCAGGAGGGCCTTGAATGTCCAGCTAATGAGGCTGTAAATAATGCAACAGGAACTGCGAGCCATTGAAAAAATTGTAGAGAACTAGTTGGTCGCAGTTGTAATTTAGGAAGATTAAAGCTGGCCTCAGGCAATGATGGTCATTGTGTCACCTCTCTGAACTCCACGCCCAGTCTTATGTTCACAAACAATGTGAACTTGATGTTTTATGGAGTAGCCAGATGGAAAGTGACATCCAAGTCAGCATTCACTTTTTTATTCAGCCAGTTAAACTCTGCTAGCTCTATTCTGACCAACAAAAAATGTTCACTTACTTTGGAGAGCCAATTTTATCGTTTAAGATTTGAATTTGAACACATACACAGGCACACACACACAGAGGGAGACACCTCCATCTCCTGAAATAGTGCCGCTTGAAAGAGTTCTTGTTAGAGGCATTTCAGATAGCATTGGCACTCAATCCATTTTCTTGGAAAAACAAACTTATGGAAGCTAAAATCAACATCATAAGAGTCCAATGCTTAAGTATGTGAGATGAATAATGGACTGTATTCTATAGATAAGCATTTCATTGATTACCAGTTGTGATCTTTATCAGAGCACCAGAAGAAATCAATAACTCTTGAACTTTAAGGCTTGAAATGAATATTCATTCTCTCTGTCTCTATCTTTCATTGCACACACATACACACTACATATGTACAGATACATATGTAACACATACATACAGATATATCTCACCCAGTATAGAAGACACCTGAATAATTTAATTTCCTTGAAAACTGTATTAAATTTCAAATTGGAATTTACGTTTCAAACTCTTCTAAGTGTTTCATCCAATCACATTGAAAAAAAATATCAGTACCCTGCTGACAGTAATTTTTCCATATATTATTACTTGACATCAAATTAGAATTGTATTTTCCCTTTAGCATGAATATAAAATGACTTATATGGAAATAAACAATGTATAAAAGATGAAGCAAAAGAAAAATAAATTAACCACAAGAAATATTCAAGTAAGGAATATCAAAAATTGCATCTTAGAAAAATTCAGTAGATATGTATTAAAATGTATCACTAAAACAAAATGTGAATTTGACTTTTCAGCTTCATTTTAACAATTTATTCACCAAAAATAAAAACCAAAACAAAAAAGTTAAATATGTTATCAAAAGGAAATCTTAAATTAACCGCATACTCATTATGTGCTCATCTAATTTGTGTATTACTATTTAATAATGGTTCTGTTTTCAAAAAAAAGTAATTTTTAAAATAAGTGCTTTTTAAAAAGTCATGAAAATTGTCAGTATTCTTTTCAATTATAAGATAATATATTTTCTTTAGAATAAACTTAGAGACAAAGAAATTCATTTCAGTGAATATCAGTGTATTCCTAAGAAATAAAAAGCTGGTTTTTATTCTAATTTCCATCCTATATTGAGTTATTATGATAATATATAATATAAAGGAAAGAAAAGCTTTTGATATTTCAGAACTATAGCATAAAATGAATTTTATTTGGGAAATTAAGCTCAGGATTAAAGGATAATAAGCTATTTCTTGGAACTTTTCCATCTTGATTACCTGATCTTTCATATGGAAACTCACACAAAAGATGACTCAGCCTGACAGTGTGAGTCTGTTTAGAAGAGGTGTCATAAATACATTAACTAATAAATAGTTGAAGAGGAATTCAATATCCTTTTTTTGTTCAAGCACATTTGTTTCTCTGAGTTGCTCACTTCTATGAGAAAATGGCTGAATATATGTCATGAAACTCTGAAGTTCTGACTTAACCATTTGTCGTGTAAACTGACACCAGAAATATAAAGAAGCTTATTCAAAGTCTTACATCACATCTCCACAGATTTGTAAACTATTATGATTGAGAGAAAGGCAAAGTCTTCAGGGTGCTGCATTTCAGATAATAGGGCTAAAAGGAAAGTAAACACTCTCACAAGAGAAAAGAAAGCATCTTACCTTTTTAAAAATTCCATATACTCTGTATGCTTGATGAGTCCTGTCCTCATCATTATTGTTTGAAAACATTGTCGATCAATGGCCCAGAGTTTCACATTTACAAGAGCTGGAGAAAAATAAAAGAGAAACAAACAGGGAAAAATTAATTAGAGAATTTCAACTGTGAACAACATCCTGCAAAAGAGATGAGTTATTTACGAGAAGCATGAAAATGATGAACTTTTAACACACATTTAAAGCTAATATCATGATGCTGTCCTGTTTCATTAAAAAGTCCTGTATGTTTACATGCAAAATGTAGTTCATAATTTTCCATACTAGCATTATTATCTACTAGAAAGATTCCTATTGCCCTTGCTCTTATGTCTCTTAGGGGTTGACAGTGTATAAGCACACACAGAAAGTATTTAGAAATTCAAAGCTATACATAAAGAAAATAGCGTGAAGAAAAAAAGGGGTTCACAAGTAATAATAGAGCCTGGTAATTATCCAGCATAGTGTTAATGGACTCATATGACCATATTTTAATTATAAAAAATAGAGGTAAAATTTCATTTTTCAGGCTTAGGGGAGAATTTACATAATAGAAATAATAATTACACAATGATTTCCACACAAAGCTTGTTTTACAAATTAAAATCCGTGCCCAAAGTTGCCACATGGTAGTTTTATTAGATACGTTTATTGAATTTTAATTTCTTCTCTTAATGCACCATCTTTGACAGTGCATAATTAAATGTTGAAGCTGAATACCCCGCAACTCAACCATTTTATCTGTTAAGCACATGACTAAGAGAAGTTTACAAAAAAGACAAATGTTACATTATATAAAAGAACAATCTATTATGATAAACTCATGTTTTCAAAGAGCACATTAAAAATTTTGGTAATTAGATTGGTATGATGGCATATGAGAGATTATTCTCTTTACTTTCATATATGTTTTCATATTGTCATGACAGAAATATTTTAAGTTAACAAATGCACTAAAAAATGTATGTATTATAGTCAGAGGGTGTGTGGTCTGAGGAAGATCTTTGAATAGGGCCAGGATATAGTTAATTGAACCAAACATAAAAAGACAGAAGAATGTAATTCTCTCTGCTTCACAGTTCTCAAGAGTAAGCCCAGTGAATGCGATGGATCATCATTTGGGAGTGAAGGAGGGAAAAAAAGAAGTTATCAGAGGAATTAGGACATGTGTGTGCCTTGTAGAGAGGAGCTAGAAGTAGTAACACACAAAGAAATAGGGGAGAAGGAAGATAAGAGGAATACTATGCTCCAGAGTAAACCCTATCTTTAAATCGTACCTATTTTTTTCTAGCAAAATTTAAACTACAAAACTAGAATATGACTGACTTCTCCCTTGGCCAACTCTATATAAAAGAAAAACAAAACATGCTCACTTAGGTAGAAATAGAACAAAGCATCCAGAACTTGTGTATGCATGGCTCCATTCTAAATGTTTTTTACAAATGACACTTCATCAAAAACAAAGGTAGTGCAGGTATCCTTCAGCCAGGTTCTAATTTATCTGCTGTCTCCAGGCCTTTTTCCACAATACCCTTTTACTTGAGATAAACAGCAAGACTAGATGATATAGCCTCAAAGAACATGGAAATCAGGAAAGGATTCCTAAGAGTTATAACAAGAAGTGGGATCTTTAAAAATGGTAGGAGTTGAGCTATAAAAGAGGTAGACAAAGGGTAACTGAGTAGGGAAAGTACATAAACATGAGCACAGCTGGAAATAAACTCAGGAGTCTATCAGAGAAGGAGACTGAAATGGTGGAGATTTCTGTAGTGTTGCATGCATGTGCACATGTGTGTACTGTAGCCAAACTATCTGAAGCATTTTAAATCTGAGTTTGCACCTCAAGCCCAGGCATTGACCCTGGTCCCTCCCCTGTCCTATGAATTGCTGCTTTTTTCTATCTCTACTTCTCCCTAGTGCTTAGCATGTGTTAATATTGTTATGTCTCTCCTAGGTCTATATCATGTTGCCTTACATAAATTTATATATTCCTTCAGAGAAAAGTCCCTGTCTCACCTCATAATCTCTGCTGTCCCACTAGAAATCAGGATTTCATTTGGTAGGCATTAGGTACATTTGTTAATGAACTTTATGTACATGAAGTTCATCTGCAAAAAACCCACAAAATAAGTTAAGTGCAGGTAGTGTCTGATGCTACATTAAAATATCTAAACTGAATGTATCAAATTTCATTATCTATGTGTCAAAAAATGACTTTTAAAAATAAATTGACAGAATTCAATAATTTCATTTTACTTTTTGGTTCCTGATTACATGGGCTATTAAAATGTCTCTAGGTAAAATTGTAGTTCAGATATTTTCCATGGTAATAAACATGACTTGAAGGAATTGCAAATTTGTTCATGACCTTGGGCATGATAGCAAAACCTTTTTAATATTTAGCCTTGCCCAACATACATATTAGTCAAGTCAGCTTTTTACAGATGGACAAGCATGACTAATAATCACCTTTCCTTCTTATCAAAAACATGGTTATATTAGAGTTGTGATTAACATCTTGCTTTTTAACTAGCCTGCTGAAGTGTAAATCTATTGCTTCCATAACTTACAGAGACCATTCAAAAGTATATCTCTTCATTCACCTTTGACCTTAAGTGATGTGTTAATCTCTACAGGGAATAAGCATTTCACAAATAAAATCCCTGTGATTTTCATGATCATTACTGTTGGACATTTAAGTCTAAAGGGTATGAAACAGAGACAGTGCTGTGAAGGGATTCTCCTTTTTGTTCAAGTATATATCTAAAATTCTTTGCTGAAACATAAATCATTTTCTCAGGTTAAGTTAACCCATATCCGACTCAGTGGAAAATAAACTCCCATTACTCTGAGACCTCTAAGTGCTCAAGTACACTGAGAACAACTTCAACACAGGAAACAGTTGGCCTTCATGTAGGGGAAACCAAGCTTACAGAGGAAGGAGCCATAAAATTGTGCTAGACCAAGAGACCACAAATCTGGATTTGGCTTAAGTTCTCCTATTGAGGAATTCATCTGTTGTTCAGTTCACATTCTGGAAGAATATTGGGAAAGCAAATGTAAGTATAATGCACTTATAGACTTAAATATTTATTTCGTTCATATTTATTTTATACCAATATGGCAAACACTGGTGCTAGATCTAAGGGATAGAAAACAAACTCACAGCCCCTGCCCTCAAGAAACTTGTGATCTAGTACAGAGGTGGACAAACTATTACCCATGCCAAATCTGGCCCATGGTCTGTTTTTGTAGTCTACTGGCTAAGAATGGGTTTTGTATTTTTAAATCACTGAAAAACTTAAAAAGAAGCATATTTCGTGACACATGAGAATTGTATGAAACAAATTTCAGTGTCCATAAATAAATTTGTGTCCATAAAAGTCTTACTGGAACACGGCCATGCCTATTCATTTACATATTGTCTCTGGCTGAACTGAGTAATTGCAACAGAGGCCATATGTACTGCAAAGCCGAAAATATTTCCTATCTAGCCCTTTACAGAAAATACTTGCTGATTCTTGGTCTAGTATAAGGGAAAAACAAATGAAGAGATAATAAGTTTCTGGGACTGTGAATACACAAAAAAGGCAATGCATCCTTTCCATGGGGAGGAGCTGAGAAGAGATGATTAAAGAAGGCTTTGCAGAAAAGAATCATCTAAGCTAGGATGCTATACCCAAAGTTATGGACGAAATGTCTGTGCCCTCCCAAAATTCAAATGTTGAAGCCCTATCCCCAGTGTAAAGGGATCAGAAGGTGGTTGTCTTGGTAGGAGACCAGATTTAGATAACATCATGAGGGTACAGCCACATGAGGAAATTAGTGTCCTTAGAGAAAGAGGATCTCCCTCTCTGCATGCAAGCACCAAAAAAAGGCCATGTGAGGACCTAACCAGGAATAGAAGCATGAGCAAGAAGCCAGCCTCTCTGTTACCCTGATCTTGGTCTTCTAGCCTCTAGAACCTAGACATTTATCTAGAAATAAACGTCTGTTTTTTAAGCCATCAGTCCGTGATACAGATGGTTCTTGATTTACGGTGGTCCCACTTAAAAATTTTCAAATTTGCGATGGTGTGAAAGTGATAGGCATTCAGTAGAAACTGTACTACAGTACTCAATAAATTACATGAGGTATTCAATAATTTATTATAAAATAGGCTTTGTGCTACATGATTTTTCCCAACTGTAGGCTGATGTAAGTGTTCTGTGCATGTTTAAGGTAGGCTAGACTAAGCAAAGATGTTCGGTAGGCTGAGTGTTTAAATGCGTTTTCAAGTTAGAAGGTTTTCAACTTATGCTAGGTTTATTAGGATATAACCCCATTGTAAGTCGAGGAGCATCCGTATTTGTTAAAACAGCCCAAACTGACTAAGAAATCTGGCATCCATGGAGCTCCAAAACATCTGTCAATGGAACTCAAAAAATGTTTGAACATGAGAGAGAAAAACAGCACCTTTATTTTTACTACCGTATAACTGATATTTAGCATTTCTTTCTATGATTATAGAAATGAGAGCAATAAACCACAGTAGTGATTTGTTACCAATAGAAACAGTAGCTATTTTTATATCCTCCTATATTTGCTGCAGATATCTTAAATATAATTTACAATCATCACTACTTCAAAATTATGGCAGTTACTAGCTCTGCCTCTAGATCCTAGTTTTAATAAGTTTTTATATCACAATTCACCATTAAATGTTATCACTGTACTTCAGTATAAATGATTTTTTTGTTATCCTATGTATTTTATGTCTTTAAAAGTATTATTCTTAGGGGGATATATATGCTTCACCAAACTGACAAATAGGTCCATGACACCCACATAAAAGATTAAGAGCCCCTGCTCTAAGCAAGTCCTGGAGGAAAAATTAAGCCAGAAAGAGAGGTAGTGGGAGTGGCAAGGGCAGGGGTAGTACTTAGCTGATCTGTGTTCCTAGGGGCATGCCTGTTGCTAAAACATCAAAATACTTGTATACTATTTAGTAAAAAGCCATTTCCCTGAGTCCCCTGAAAGCCTTTCCCCCAGTATCTCCTAGCATCCCCACAGATCAGTAACCGAGGATTAACA